GACCCAAAGGAATTAAAAATATGATGATGACTCTGAAAGGAGTTTTCTTTGGTAAATTCAGTTTATAAAAGCAGGAAATAAGTAATTTTTTAATTTTTTTAATTTTTTTTAAAAATTTTATGTGTATGAGTGTATTGCTTTCAGGTATGTAAGTGTACATGTGCCACGCAATGCCTGCTGAGGTCAGAAGTTGTTGAATTTCCCAGGTACTGGAGTTAAAGACAGTTATTAACTGCCATGTGGTTGCTGGGAATCAAACCCAGGTCCTCTGCAAGAGAAGCCAGTGCTCTTAACCACTGAGCCATCTCTCCAGCCCCCAAAAAGTTATTTTTTAAATCAATTTTAAATCAATGTAAATGGTTGAAATAAATATAAAAACATGTGGAATTGAACAGTGTCAAGTTGTCTATACTATGTGCCCCACAGTGTCTGAGAAATGAGATATCAGTCCACAGGCACTGATTATAAAATGTCCAAAGTAATTGCTGTAAACGAATACAGTATCTTTTCCATCCATCTATGACTGAAAACATAAGCGCTCTCCCTCCCAAAGGAACCTCTATCATGTGGGAAGTACTCAAGTCAGCACCCCTCTACATAAGAACCTTAGAGCTCCAGGCTGGAGAGATGGCTCAGTGGTTAAGAACACTGGCTGTTTTTGCAGAGGACCCAGATTCAATGCTCAGCACCCTCATGGTGGCTAACAACCATCTTTAACTCCAGTTCCAGGAAAATTCAATGCCTTCTTCTGACCTGTGCAGTGTTGCATGAAATGGGTGCACTTACGTACATGCAGGTAATACACTCATACACAGAAAATTTAAAACATATATATTTTTTAAAAAGAACTTTAGAGTTCATACTGAGTAATCAACCACAATGATAGGTGAACTCAACTGATTTGAAACCTAAGCACAGGGACCAAGTGCTTAGTCCCAAACTGTTTTTCTCAAAATGTGGTCTATGTTATAGAACCACAAATGTCCTGGAGAACTTGCTTCAAAATGCAGATTCTGAGTCCCAAATGAAGTTGTAAGAATCATAATCTGGGGGCTGGAGAGATGGCCCAGTGGTGAAGAGCAGTGGCTGTTCTTGCAGAGTACCCAGCTTTTATTACCAGCATGTACATGGTGGCTGACAACCATCCATAACTCCAGTTCCAGAGGATCTGGACTCTTCTGACCTTTGAGGGCATTGCACAACATGGGTGCCGACAATGCACTCATATACATAAAATTTAAAAAATAAGATATTTTTTTAAAAAAAGAATCACAATCTGTGGGGAGCCTACACTGTAGCATAGGTCTCCAGAGGTGTCTAGTCAGTCTGAGCATCATGGTACAGCCTTACCTTGAAGTATAGGCTCAGTGACCCAGTCAAGAAACTAGCCAGGTCTGTAAAAGAACCCTTTCCACTAAAAGTGCCTACTGTGCCCACTAAAACCACATTCCCCACTTTGACATTTCTTACCCTACACAGTAGATAACAAAATTAAGTGTGGATTTCTATAATATATACATAATTAACCTCTTAAGCCCTAGTTAATTTTTAAAAGACTACGATTTTAGGATTTCTTAAAATATTTTATTATTTTTATTTTATGGGTATGAGTGTATTGCCTGCATGTAACTAAGCGCACCCATGTCATTCAGTGCCGTGGAGGTCAGAAGAGGGTTTCGGATTCCCCTGGAACTGGAGTTAAGGATGGTTTGTAGCCACCATGTGGGTGCTAGGAATCAAACCCGGGTCCTCTGCAAGAGCAGCCAGTGTTCTTAAACACTGAGCCATCTCTCCAGCCCTTATTTTTATTTTTAATTATATGTATAAGTGTGTGTCTGTGTGTGGGTTTGTTGTACATGAATGCAGTGCCCTTAGAAGCCAGAAGGCGGCACTGGATCCCTGGAGCTGGACTCACAGGAGGTTGTGAGTCATCTAACATGGGTGCTGTGCATAGAACTTAAGTTCTCTGCAAGAGCAGCATGAGCACTTAGCTGCTGGGCAATCTCTCCAACCCCAAGACTGCAGGATTTCTAAAGCAAATATGTTAACATAAAAGCAACAGATGGCTATAAAGGGGGAAACACTGGATGAGGAAAGGTTCGATGCAAGTTCAGAGAATCAATGGGGAACGAGGAAGGAAAAACACCTAAAAGCTGTCTTGGAAAGAAGTCACAAAGCAGCTGATATCTATGTCTAGAGTTCCAAAAAGCAACTATGAAAGTCTCCTATAATATTTAAGCCAGTCCTTAAAACTCTGGAAGCGCAGGCTCAGCAGTGCTGGCTGGCAAATACATATGGCCAACAGAAGATTTCAAACAATTCTGAAGGTGTTGCCAACATAAAAACTAAGAGATTTCGTCTCCTCCCACTTCTCCCTTGTCTTTTCCTGGAAAGTTGAACATTAAAACACCAAATCAAGAAGCCACATGCCCACTGGAGCTGGGCAGCAGCTGTTTGCCTTCAGCCAGGCGTGCCATGAGGCCTCTGCAGGCTTGGCCTGCTTCACTCATCACGACAGCGGCCAGGACACATTTGCACTGACCACCTCAGCTTCAAGGAATCTGGTACAAATTCAACTCTCTCTGCCTCACTCCATTCCTAGTAAAAACTCCTGCCACCAAGATCCTTTCCTACCTCAGACATGTCGAGAAAGAAATCAAGAACTGGAGATACTGGTAGCCACTTATACTAGCTGAGGCAGGAGGATTGCCACAAGTTGGAGGCTAGCCTGGTACACACAGTGAGTACCATGGCAGTCAGGGCTTCATAGTGTGATCCTTTCTCTAAATAAATAAGAAAAGAAAAAAGAAAGAATTTGAATATTGTACACAAATTACCCCAGAATTTAAAGTAAAGTTTCTGTCCTTAGATGCCCCCTGGGAATACCTGTAGAGCTTTTACATGATAGGATTCCTAGCTTCCATGTCCAGAGAGTCTGATTTCTTGGACTGGGATGTACCTTAGGCCTCAGGATAGCATAAGGTCCCCCAAGTGATCCTAAATGGTAACCGAAGTTGAGAACTCAAGCTTTGAGAAGGTGCAAGTTTTTTGAGTTTTTGTTGTTGCTGTATTGTTTTTGTTGTTGTTTTGTTTTTTGTTTTTCAAATATTTTTATTTATTATTTTTTATTTGTCCCTCAGTGCTAGTGTTAAAGGTGTACACACACACACACTATTTTTTAAAAAATATTTTATTATTTGTATTTTATGTATATGCACATATTGCCTGCATGTAGGTAAGTGCACCCATGTTGTACATGCCTGTGGAAGACAGAAGAGGCTGTTGGATCCCCTGGAACTGGAGTTATGGGCAGTTGTTAGCTGCCATATGGGTGCTGGGATTCAAATCCAGGTCTTCTGCAAGAGCAGTCAGTGTTCTTAACCGCTGAGCCATCTCTCCAGCCCCTGTATTGTTGTTGTTTTTTTTTTTTTTAATGGAAGGTTATGTCTATTCCAACAGCAACCTCCAAATAAAAATCTTTGCCTCTCACTTCCATAATTCACTTACTTTTAGAAAAGGGAAATTATTCCAGAAGCCGACTAAATGCCATTTACAAGCTGGAAAACAAGGTCAAAATATGCTCTGATTTCTACCATTCATTTTCCCTCCAACAGAACTGAAGAGTAAAACACTAAGGAAATGAAAGGAAATTATCCCAAGAGACAAAACTCAGACTTCACAAATAGCTCAAACACAATAAGAAGAGGCTCGCAGTGGCAGGCTTGTACAAAAAAGTACAATTGCTTTGAAATTCATCATTGCACTAAGTAGAAAAAAATTCAAATAATAAAAAAAGAACAGTTTCCCTAAGTCTTTCTAGTAATGGCCCAATTTTTATCTTAAGATGAATTCCAAATTATTACTTCTCTTCAAGCTTTCTGCTAGATAGTATGCATTTATATTTTGGCTTCCCATCATGGGAAATGCAAACTAATGTCATCTAATTTTCAAACACTAAAACCACCTACACTACAGGTGAAAAGCAGATGCTTGGGGCTGGGGATGCAGCTCAGATGGTAGAGTGCTTGCCTAACATGCACAGAGCCCTAAGTTTGATCTCCAGCCCCACATAAACTAGGTGTGGTGGCAGCTGTGCCATCTGTGACCCCAGCACTCTGGATGTGGAGACAGAAGAATCAGAAGTTCAAGATCATCCTCAGCTACATAGAGTTTGAGGCCAGCCTGGGCTATATGAGGACCTGTCTCAAAAAGAATACAAAATAAAAAGAAAACAAAAAAGTAAATGCTCAAAACTGATCTCACATAATAATGGATCCTATTTACTAAACCCCATCATGCACCAGTCCCTATGCTACGCAATTCCTGCAAAGGATCTCTCAGATCAGTCCAGCAACCTCAGGGTTAAGGCCGTCATCTCATTTCAAAAGTTTTTAAAAATTAGCTTTGGAAAGATTCAGAATGATGTTCATGGCCACTAAATACTAGATGGTAGAACCTGGATTCGAGCTCCTGTCTATCTGACCAGCTCCAACCCCATGCTCTTCAAGCTAAACCACCTTGTTGTGTCATCATAACTCGCAGGCAGAAGGACCTGTGCCTGATGAATCCCACTTTCCCAAGAAAAAACAGATCTGGATGGTTCACTCCATATCACAAAACAAGTCAGCGGGAGCCACAGCCAGACACCCTGCCTTCTGTTCTCCACTCAGTGTTCTTGTAGAGGGTCACACTGTTGACATGTTACCTCATAAAAGCTGACTGACTCCTGAGAATATCAAACTGGTACATGTGGGTTAACTTTACCATGGGTCTGGTGTATCACCTTTCTATTTCAGCTCTCAGGAAACAGTAGCAGGTCAACCAGATCATCTGTCCCAGAATCCTCTCGTGGATCCTGTGAACAATGATGCTGATAGCATACAAGCACAGGTCCCTCCCCAGGCCTTTATCCTGTCCTTGGCTGCCCTGACACCATCACAGAAGAACAGTAGAGCACCTTGTGGAAATGTAGATACCATGTGCGGATTTTTCCCCCTTTATTCATAAAACTGTAAAGAGATTATGTCATAAAAAAGTCATTTTAAAAGGTCTCATCTCCATGAGTCCCGCTATTTGAAGCAGGGTCCGAAGTGTCAGTTTATGCTCTGGCAGGAAGGTCTCCTCTCTAAGACACCGACACTGTATCCCGAAGCCTGTATCCTGAAGCACGCAGTGGCCAAGGAGTGGTTCTTGGGGAAAAAAAGTAGATACAACAGCAGTTTCCCTGCAAGAGAAAGAAAACAGGTTTTATCACCTAATAAACATGTCTCAGCAATCAATACTTATTTGCCCTCTTTTCTCAAGCAACTCCTGAGAGTCACTTGAATTCTATCACTATGGATAATTCTTGAAGAAATTGCATTCCTACCTCCTAGTGATCTTTGAACAAAGCAAGCACCTCATTTTATTACATCCAACTACCCACAGAAGCTAGTTTGGAGAGGAGTTTAAGATGTAGCTAAAACTGAGGTCTTAATCATGCTGCTGTGATAAACTCTGCTATGTTATCAAACCTCACCAAGCCTGTCTCCCAAATGCCAGTGGCAAGAACAAACAGATGTCAGGGCTATTTGTTTTATTCAAAAGTGACAGGAAATCAAAAATCTATCAAATGGATATGTCAGCAGCAATGCCGCAAGCACATTGGTTAGTGAGATTTATGTGCCTCCATTTTAGCTCATGACAAGATCACCTTCTAAGCTTTCTAATCTTCTTCTTCAAATGCCCACTTGGACATAAAGGTTAGAAAGTTCGTGGATGTTACCTTTAATGCTAGGTATCTCATACAATGTGGGCACATGCAATGTGAATTAAAATCCTGTAAATTTGAGATGTGGTATGGCATACAGATAGTAATCCCTCCTTGTGCACATTTCTGAAAATCCACAGAATGTCTCTTAAAAATTGAGAACTGAGCTGAGGAGATGGCTCAGTGGATAAAGTACTTGCTGCCCAATTATGAGGACCTGAGTTCCAAGACCCAGAACCTATGCAAAACCAGACACGGTAGCATGTGCATCAGTAACCCCAGCGCTCACAAAAGGAGATGGGAGATAGAAAAAGGAGACTCCCCAGAAGCTCAGAAGTCAGCTAGCTTGTCATATGGGTGAGGGAAGAGAGACCCTGTCTCAAACAAGGTGGAGGGGACAACCAACATCCAAAGTCTTCCTCTGACCTCCACACGTGTGCCATGGCAAACATGCCTGCATCTACACACATGAGTGCACAGATGCACACACACACACAATACAGAAAAAATGAGAATTACTAAATTCCAAAGTTGGTATGTTAACTAGGTTATTAACAGCACCTGTACTATTACCATGCTGCAGTGACATTTTATGTATTTCTACTGCCTGAGCACTGGAACTTTATGAGTGATTCTAGTGATGCTGTTCCTGGTATTTTTGACTTCATTGTTATTGTCATTTTAATATTTATTCATGCCTTAAGATAGAATCATCCAAGTTTCACTAAGTGAAGATGTTAGAACTAATTCAGGGGAAATAAACTGTCAAACAGTTTGAAACAAATATATGGTATGATCAATGCTACAGTTTTAAAAGGCCACACAATTACCACAACAACCCTAGATGCTAATTTAAGACAATAACTCAGGTGGCAACAAACTTTTTCCTTAAAGGAACAAACAGTAAATAACTTGGGCTTTGAAGGCTACAAGGTCTCTGTCACAACTTCTCAAGTCTGCTGTTTTGACTTTTAACATAGCCGGGAGCACAGCTGTGTTCTACTAAAAATTTATAAAAGCAGAAGCACCCTCTAACTATGGCATGCCCCCACAGATGTGTATATGTGTGCACATGTGTAGATGTAAAGGTTAGAGGACATCTTGTTTGTGGGAGTTGTTTCTATCCTTCCACTATCTGGGTCCCCAAGGTCAATCTCAGGTTATCAGACTTGATAGCAATCACCTTTTTCTGATGAGCCACTTCATTAGCCATTTTTATTTTTGAAACAGGGTCTCACACTATAAGCCAGGTTGGCCTGGAACTCACTCTGTAGCCCAGGCTGCTCCTGAACTCATGGCAATTCTGAATGTTGCCCCTTTCATTTAGTGTAGCACGCTACATCTCATAAAACACCTGCAACTATCTCCTTGTTTTCCATAAAGCTACTTTTGAGAAAGTAAAAAAAGTTCCTTCAAGACAGAAGCATGTCAAACTGCAAAAACTTTGTAAACATTGTCAAGAAAATGGGGGACAGAAGAATAAGGTGGAAACACGACCACAACATGAAAACCTCAGAGTTTTCCAAATCTCATTTGTGGTAATGATTACAAAACTACATATTGTAACTCACAAAATAGTATACTACAAAATGGACAAATCACCAATTTAGTTACATGTAAATAATACCTCCATGAAGCTGATTTGGGGAACACATTAAAGCTTCAATAGTCATCTTTAGTGTATAATAATTATAGGTTTATATGCAAAAAGTATATATCCCTTACCTTTGCTCCTCTGAGAAATGTGAGAGTGAGTTGTGTACATAATGGGGGAATTCTGTGGCATTGGATGCTACTGTCCCACACTGAAGTCCTGGCCCTATCCAGACTTCTGTCACCTACTTAAGATGGAATAATCACCTTCCATACACTGTACAAAACCCAAGTTCATGGCTCAGCTTCGCATGGGTAAAAGAGAAAGAAGACTGACAATCTAAGTGTGCAACCTTTTGACAATGAAAAAAACAACATTATCATCTGCTCAAGAATCGCATAATGAAATCACGTGAAAAAGATGCAAAAAAAAGCCTCATAATGTTTTAATATTTTAAATGCGTTTACAATTTTGTATTGGGCTCATTCATAGCTGTCCTGGGACAAGTAGCCACTGGGCCTGAACGACAACAGGCCATGTGGTAAGTTTCTTTAATTTACTTATCATTACTAACAAACTTTAAATACAAACTGGTTGAAAACCACACGAGCCTTGCCTCCTCCTTTCAGGGGCATTTGATGCAGAGTGAAGCTGTACATTCAAATAATTAAAAACTAAAAACTATAAATAAATAATAAATAAATAAATTGGGGACAAGACATAGAATGAAAATCATCCTTCTAACTGACTTAAAGTTGGATGAATACACAAAATGTTAAACCCCCTAGTATCAAATCTGTCTCTACCCAGAGATTATAGGAGCCCACCCCAGACTTACTCAACCAGAATCCCAGGAATGGGTCCACTATTCTGGGCTTAACAAATCCTCTAGATGTTTCTGTTGTTCACTAAAGTTTCAAGACCACTAACTTGAAGTTTGGAAAATAACAGGTATATGCCTTTCCAGTGTAAGTGAAGGTGCCTTAACTCCCTCACATAACTTTGAGCTGACTTCAGATCTCCCCAAAGAGGAGATCTGTGCCCAAGTACATAAGCATTTAGTGAGAGTGAGGTCTATTATGACTGAAAAGGCTAAGTAGAAGCCATTAAAGATGCCTCTACCTGGGAAAACAGTGAATCAAAGCCAGTATCACATTTAACTCTATGTGGCTGTGCAAAAAATAGTTGGATCTTGGAGAATGACAGTTGATTATCATAAGTTAATGATTTTGCTTAGGCTTTCCAGTAACATTGAAATCTATTAATCTATGTTAAGTGTACAGAAGCTAAGTGTTAACCAGAATGGAATCCAACTTGAAACCAAGCAGAAACACAATCTCCAACTGATGTCTGTTTGTAGGCCTGGCATGCATGCTCTGAATGTCAAGATACTTGTGTGTGAGCAATCCTTTTGCTTCTTCTTTGGTTAACTGCTCTCCAAGTTTATTGCACATCTCAATTAGAATTCCAGGTTGTTTATACAAAACTATGTGCAGTGTACTTTTAAGCTGGCATAAGGTAATTCAGAATTATTAGCCTGTGCCCATGGCAAAATTGCCAGTCACTCAAGGCCATTCAACCCAGAGTCTAAAAATTATTCCTAAGACTCAAAAACCTTCAGACTAGCATTTTAGACAGTGGGAGAAATGCACCTGTTGAGTATCCCTTATCCAAAATACTTGGGATGAGAATATTTGGGATTTAGGAATTTTTCATTTTTTAATATTTGCATATACATAATGAGATTTCCTGAAATTAGACTCTAAGTATAAACATGACATTCACTTAATTTTCATATAGACCATATACTCATAGTCTGAAGATAATTCTATACAACAGTTTTAGTTCACCTTCTTTTGACTGCTACCCACCATATAAGGTCAGGCACAAAATTTTCCACTCATAGCATTATATCAGCATTCAGAAATTTTCAGATTTGGGAGCAGTTCTTATTTGGGGTTTAGAGATTAGTTTCCAGACTAATAAGACATATTTGTTTTACTGGCCAATCAACATGTTCCTTTCTTGTGATTCTTTCTGCTCCAATTACAGCTTTAAGTCTCTCTGTTTATTGTTCGCATAACAATAAAAGTAAGCTGCAGTTAATCCTGAGTGCAGTCTTTACAAATCTCTGCCACCTTGAGGGCCTCAATCATGGGAGATTATGCTGAACAGTTTAAGCAATCTGAAAGCAGTTGTAACTCAGTGCATCATACAAAACTGCTCTGAAAAATCAAAGCACCAAGCAAATAAAGCTGCAGAACAGATAACAAAACACCTGTGAAATAGTATTGTATAGGTATCACTAGGAAACGGACTGTGTGAATAGCCCAGGAGGCTGATTCATAATGCCAGGCTTATAAGCATAAAAACACGGCTTGAGTAAATAATTCTGATTTTGTTTTTGGTACCTACTGAAGATTCTTTATTCAGCTAAGGGGGCACCACACTGTTCCTTTAGCAGCATCTCCATTATTCTAATTCCCTACAGAGAGAAGAAAGAAAAATCAAAATGTCATATTTCATAGACAAGTACTTTTACATTTATCACAACCTTTTCCCTTCAGGGAATCCAGGTACCAGCAATATATTCATTTCAGAAAAGCGGGCACATGTCATCCCTGACATTCTTATAATATTTTACTCAGCGATCCCCTTCCACCTTCTCCACATGTGCTCAGAGCTATTTGGGAGGTGGGTAGAGCAGCACTTGGGACCTGCTTGCAACATCAGCACAGCTCAAGAGAAGGTAAGCAATGGCTCCAAGCAGTGCATCTTGCCAGCGTTGGGATAATGGCAACTGCAACTGTTTGCTGAACACTGACAATTGTGCTGAGTTCATTGCCAAGGGTTCATACTTGCTTTCAGGGGTAGTGGGTGCTGCAGCATCCCACTGACATCCTCCAAGGTGGAGACACTCCTTCCCCAAACACCAGAACCTACTGTGGACTGCTGTAGGCATGTGGGCACCAGAGCCAAAGTAGGCAACCTCACCTGAGCTCATGTCTTTTCTCCAGGGCCTGCCCATAGCCAATGACCGGTGGGTCTGGAGGTATAATGGCCCTCTTCCCTCAACTGTGAACATTAAGGGATATTGCATTCCCCGTAGCTCCCCATGAGATCAGCTGAGACCTCTGCTAGGACTGTATCACAATCAACATCACTTGCTCCTCACCCTGCGTCCCTCCTCCCCAAAGAGATATCCCTCAGAGTCCTCTCCAAAATACTCCATGGGCAAATTTCCATCTCTGAGTTAGGTCTCCAGAGCTCACAGAGGACACCTGTGTGACACAGACAAAACTCTCAGGCAACTACTACTCTCCCTGCTCCTTTACTGGTGAGAAAACATATTCAAAGAGGTTTAAACCGTGCCCCAAACTATACAGCTACGATGTAGTGATGCCAGGAGCACACAGGCACGCCACACCGGTTTCAGTCACACCCCCAGTCCTCTGCACTGGTTATTCTGACTGTTCACGCCAGCCCACCTATCACCTATCTTTGGGGAAAGAAGAAGGCAGATACTCCTTTCCTCCTTCAAAGACTGGTTCTGTAGATCAGAGAATAAACCTTCCGGTGGAAAGATGGAATAAGATTATACTTATGAAATAAATGTCTCAAAGCTAGATCCAAAGGAAAGGGTCTGCTGTTCTCAGAGACTAGAAATGTTTGGTGAGAATTAACAGCAATAAAGAGAACTGTAGAACAGTTTCCCAGGCCTCTCCTGGGAATATTGGCTTAACAGGACTCTAGCAGGTCCCAGCTTATCTTTGACAAGCTCTCATGTGATTAAGATCAAGCAGGGCTGGGGAATACTGAGTGGGCTTACAGAAGAAAGGCTGGGACTTCTCATTAGGGTTCACTTGAGAAAAAGGACAGGATGGTGAGGATTCAAAAGCATCACTAGTACACACAGTAAAATATCTTGGGGCCTGGGGAGATGACTCTGTCAGTAAAGTGCTTACTGTACAAGCATAAGGACCTGAATTTGGATCCCAGCACATGTTAAAAATGAAAAAGAGCTGTCCTGTGTTCCAAGAACCAGAGAGGCAGAGACAGGCAGATCCCAGAAGCTCACTGACTAGCCAGTCTAGACGAATCCATGGGCTCCGAATTCAGTGAGAGATCAATCTCAAAAAAGATGGGGGGGGGCTGGAGAGATGGCTCAGTGGTTAAGAACACTTGCTATTCTTCCAGAAGACCTGGGTTTGAATCCCAGAACCTACATAGCAGCTAACAACCATCTATAACTCCAGTTCCAGGGGATCCAACACCGTCTCCTGGTCTCTGTGGACACTACACACACCTGATACATTTACATAATGTAGGTAAAACATTCATGCATATAAAATAAAAATAATGAATAAAATATTTTTTAAAAACAGATAAGGAGCTGGGCGTAGTGGCACACGCCTTTAATCCCAGCACTCGGGAGGCAGAGGCAGGAGGATCTCTGTGAGTTCAAGGCCAGCCTCGTCCACATAGTGAATTCCAGGACAGCTGGAGCTACAGGGAAACCCTGTCTCAAAAAAACCAAAAAAAAAAAAAAAGATAAGGTGGGAAGTGATCAGAGAAGACACCTAACATCAACCTCTGGCCTCCACACACATGAATACACTTGTGCACATGCACATGCAACTGTATGCACATATGCATACCCACATGAACACACCATACATAACACACATGCAGATACACAAAAATATATCTTTAACACTAAGGCAGAGCAAATGAGAAGATTCAGAAGGCCCTTCAGATTCTGCCAGGGCCATCACCCCAGATTATGATTCTGCTTTAGAGAGAAGCAGCAGTAAAGGTTCCTGATGGGGGCTGAAAACTATGGATTATGAGCTGAACCAAAGCAGCAAACCACAGGACCAGCATCCAGAGATATAAGACCTATTCACAGTTCACAGCCTTTCTGCTAGGTACCTTAGTCTGGACACTATTGCCAGGCAGTGCCTTAGACTACTAAGGCTGGGTGACTGCAAAGCCAGCTACACTAGGGCCTTCTATATGCAGCATACCAGAAAAATTAATGCTGTCTATAAAAGAAAACACAGATTTCTGAGCCCTAAGAGTGACTCCAGTCAAACTGTGAGGCCAAAAGCTGGCATTTGTGCACTGATAAAACACTTCAAGCAATTATGAAGTGCAATTAGCTCATTCACTAGAATTTATAAATAGCAGTTTTTTAATGCATCTGAGATATTTTCCAACTCTGCCTATTTGGGAAATAATGAAATATGTTCTCCTTAATCATACCTGGAGATGTCATAAACACTGCTCTTAAAACTAGCTTCCTCTTGGGGCTGGAAAGATGGCTCAGTGGTTAAGAGCTCATGTTGCTGTGTTCCCAGCACCCACATCAGGTGCTCATAACCAATTAAAACTCCAGCTCCAGGGGGTCCAATCTTCCAGTGCCCTCTTCTGGCCTCTTTAAGCATCTGCACTCACACATACTCACATGCACATATCCACACATTAGACACACACTTATACTTAAAAATAAAAACAAATCTTAAAAACATAGTCTACTCTTAAAGGTTGGGGAGAAATAACAGACCATGGGCACAACAACCAGTGGAACAAACTCTAACCACAGTCTAAGCATCAGACCCAGCTATGCTCACTTCTGTTTTCACTCATTCAGCAACCAATCCAATGGACAAATATATTATGTGCCTACTATATGCACTGGATATTAAACGGCAAACAACCAAGACAAAGTTCCTGCCCTAGTAGAATTTGCAGGCAATTTTCTTTCCCATTTCAAATTTTTGTTGAAATTCAACCCCTTAAATAATTAAATGTCTTCCTATTTTCAGGAAGAATAAAAACTGCTGTATAAATTATTTTTCAAACATCTCTTTTCAGAGTAGATGGTATGTCTCTGAAACAAGAAAAGCACATCCCTTCCTAAGGAAGTGAGAAGCAAGCTGTGAATCCACCTATCCATCTAAATTAAGACTGCCACCACTTATTGAGCCACTAATTGACATAAGTGAAGATTCTGAGGTTCGCCTTGGGAATTCAAAGACATTATTTATTGAACCAATTATGTTCACAATGTGACAGTTGATTTTTCTTTCCCTCCCCCCCCATACCACTTTAGTCTTTTTAAGAACAGTTAGATACAGAAAGCAGAGAACGAGGACAGAGAAAGAGGTTTATAAAGTGAATTAAGAAAAGAAAAGGCTAACAGGTAGGCCAGCCATTATTTAGCGCCTCTCTTTGGTAAGGAGGGACCAAATCAAAGCTCAATAGATAGTCCTTTCAAATAAAGTTCATTCTAACACTCAAATCTTGCCCCCAGGAGATCAGGCTTAAAGAGGCTAAATTCACACCCCTTATCACACAGTGATACACACACAGAACACACATTAAGTAAATGCACTTTTTAGATACATCTTAAAAAACTTTTGGATTGACACACCATAAACCAGCTTGACTTTATTATCTCTCTGCCCCTCAAGAATGTTTTTTCCACTATTACTAAGCTATCCTTCTCCATTTGTCAATGCACAGATAAGTAAGCCATCTCAGGGCCTCACTTCCCTAATGCTGGGCAGTGCTGCCTAAGGTAATTTCAGCTCGGGAGTCTTTTATTTTTTAATTTTTCAAAAACTTCATTAAGAATTTCATACATGTATATAAGGTGTTTTGATCAAATCCATGCCCACTCTCTCCCCTCCAATATTCCCCCCTCTGAAGAGGTAACCCTAAAATCTTTTAAGGATTAGATACAAGCTCCCAAATACTTTTGACCTTTTTGGCCTTTGGAAGAGAGTTATTGCTAACAGGCCCAAGGAGTCCCTTTCAAGCTCAAGTCCCTTCACAAAGTCTCCACTCTGTTTATGAGAAACAGTTGATTGTTACTGTAAGAACAAAATGTGTCTTAAGACGAGTTAGAACCGACAATGACTAAATCCAGACAATGTGTTTATTTTGTCATCAGACACTTCCTTAAGAAGCTCTAATTTAGCTAGGAAGCTCCAAAGGGAGTCATATTAGACCTTACAAAAATTAGACTTCTAAAGCAGTTCTTCAAAGGCACATCCATGTAAAGAACTTTACAAAAGAGAACTACTCACTTAATTATCACGGTGATTTAAAAAAAAATGGTGTTGAAGATCCTGCTAGAAATAAGTCCTTCTTGTGGGTCATAGCTTTGGGGCCAACATCATCCAGAGCACCAGCTGTCACTGTGTATACCGGCTGCACTGTGTATACAGGCAGCCTTGGGCATAGAGATACACCAGGACGTGACACCCCCTGTCCTGGTTTGTTTCTTCATTGTGTGACAAAACACTCTGACCACTGCCAACTTGGGGAGGAAAGGGTTTATTCAGCTTACAACTCCCAGGTTCAACAGGGAGCCCAAGGTAGGAACTCAGGGCAGGAACCTGGAGGCAGTAGCTGGGGCACAGGCCATGGAGGAACACTGCTCACTGGCTTGCTTCTCTGGCCCCTGCTCAGCCTGCT